AACTAAGTAAAAATGCATAAAATATTATTACATAGGATTATAAAGAAAAGTAATCAATCATACAGAAATATATGTCTATCTTCCAATCCCTTAGGAATCTATGAATCCTAAGTCAAGAATCTCCCAAAGGGTAGGGTCTTGATGAAGGGGAGGAGTCAGAAGTGGTTCTGGTGGATGGAAGTCTTCAGGGCTTCCTAGGCCGAAATGTTCATTTTAAAATGAAAAACACCAACATAAGGCTGAAATTTTTACATAGTCTTTTAAAAGCACCTTTATAATTCTCTCATTGGCTCTTCACAATTGCCCTAGTAGAAAAGGAATCCTCTAGTTCATCAACAGAGGCACTTCTGACTCCCTGGGGACATATGACTATGTCTGAAGATATTTCAGTCATAACCAAAGTGTGTACCAGTGGCACCTAGTGGATAGAGGCCAGGCAAGTTGTTAGATATCCTACAATGCACAGGACAGCTCCCTTGGCCCCACACCCCACAACACAAAGATAGCACCCAAAATGTCAATAGCACCATGAAACAACTCTACTTAGTCTGAGGGGCATAAAAGGCTGGAGGAAAGTTAACGCTCAGTTTAAGTGAACTTGTCTAAGGACACTAAGGTGAGTGGACACACGACCCCAAACTTTGTTCTTTCCTTTATACCAGGAGGACATCTGTCCTTAAAGTTCCTGGGACGTTAGAGCCCATAAGGGTGATGGTGGAGTAGCCTACTGTAGACACTGGACAGAGGCAAGAGCTTAGCAGAACCGAGAACACCGTAACCCAAGGATCAAAAGCAGGCCTGCAGCACTGCCTCATGTCCCCACATTAGCCTTTGCCTGTCTACAGCCTGCTGAATATTTAGAGTTATCTCGCTCCTAAGACTTCATCCTCACTCGCTTACCCATAAATATGACAAAAAAGGATAAGCAAGACTTCCAAGAACTTGTCCAAGTGGTGTGTCTATAGAGGCACAGAGGGCAAGTACCACAGGAAGAAAATACTTAACTGCTTCTGAAACTTGGGGTCACCTTAAATTCCTCAGAATCTTCAGCTTTATTTTTTTATTTTTTTGAGACAGAGTTTCACTTTGTCACCCTTGGTAGAGTGCCATAGCGTCACAGCTCACATCATCCTTCAACTCTTAGACTAGGGC